CCTCCTCCTCACCATCTGCTACCCCAGACCAAGCCTCGGGAACTCCACATCCTTCTCCCATTATGCAGATGAGTACATTTTCAGATTCATCCAGGTGCTCCACAGAATAAAGGGGGCCCAGTTCACAAAAAGGGACCTCTTCTTGAAAAGGCCATTCACGTTATAAATAGCATAAAGAAACATGTGCGCCATGGATGAGAAAAGGAGGGTGGGAGAGGACTGTGTCTGCCACCCCCATTGCCCCGTCTGGCTCAGCGCCCCAGATCAGATGCACCCTGGGTCCCTGGGAGAAGGGCTCAGAGCAAACTCAGAATGAGCTTTGTCCTTAAAGCACCGTGGGACAGTGGTTATCCAGAGCAGCCCCGACTTGGTCTCACATTCTGGACTGAGCTCAGGATGTGAGAGATTGCCCCAGCCTTGGGGGAGGGGTAGCCTGCCAGGGCTTGGCGTTTGGGAGGCTCAGAGCTGACGAAACAAGCGCGCACGGCCATTTGGAGGAGTGCGTGTGCATCTCATGGCTAGAACCCCCGTCCCCTGGGAGCATGAGGATAACCAAGCTTAGGTCAGGCAGGGCTGGGACTGTCAAGCCAAGGATCCTGGTCTGTATCCACCGGCATCGGGAGCCGCCCCGGCATTCAAGCGGAAGCTGAGACGGGCCTCCTGGCCGTGGCGTTTACAGAGCGCGACCAGCGTTCGGGCTCTTCCATGGCGCTGTCCTAAGAACTTGCAGGAGTGATCTCACTGACCCCTCCAACGACCCTGTGAGAACCTGTAATTAACCCCATCTATGGATGAGGAGACAGGTGTGCAAGGAGGTCAAGTTACCTGTTTACGCGGCTGGATTTCAAAGCCAGCCAGACACCACGATCCACTCAGGGGTGTCGCTGGGGGTGCAGTGAGGTGGCCAGACCTATGAGAGGAGGAGAGAATGGGGACTGGAAAGGTAGTTAGGGGTCCAACAAAGCCACGGCAAGGCGTGACCCAGGGTGCTGCCAGGAGGTGGGGGCGGCGGCACACAGGACGCTCTCTGAGGAGTGGAGGACCTTTGAGTCTCTCTTGAGCTCCGCAGGGGAACTTCGGTGAAGAGAAGCAGTTCACATTCTCTCTGTGCTGCTGCTGCTTCACTCTCTCCCCACCATCTCTACCTGTACCCTCTGAGGCCCTGTTTCCTTGGGACTCCTGCCAGGCCCATGGGGCACCTGAGCCGTGGCAGTGCCCCAGGGAGTGAGAGACGTGGTCCAGCCAGGCCAGAGCTCTGGCTCACATGGTGGCATCTCGGGGCGTGAGAGCACGCTGTATTGTGTGACTCAGGGACATGATGCCAACATCTGCAATGACCTCCAAAATGATGACTTATGAGCCCTGAGGACTGACTGCTGGCGGGGCAAGGGGGCAGCCCCCAGGCACCCTGCGGCTGTTAGTGACTTTGAAGGTTCCTGAGTTATCAATGAAATGCATGGAATTCTGGTGGGATTTGGGAATTCTGGGGGGAGATGTGTGTCCTTGATATCACTTCCTGTTTGAGTGACCTGGAAAGAGCGCCCTCAAGTGGACAATGAGGATGATAAACTCTCCTCCAAAGTTAGACCCGAGGACTAACGGAGATAGCTAAGTGAGGGTGAACAGCGGGCCACTTGGCTGAGTGGGATTCCAACCGGATCCCCCCAATCCAGGCTGCCAAGCACCCCCTGCCACCCACCACGTGTATGCCCTGAGTGTAAACACAGCCTGGCCCGTGTGCGCCAGGAACGTCTTCCTTTAGAAGCTCACGTCATCGTCCCATACTCCACACACTGCACCTTGATCCCAGCCGACCTCGGCGGCTTCAGCTCTGGCCCCTGTGTCCCGGTTCGTCCCTGATTCCCAGTGATGTTTAGCTACAAGCCCGTCTCTGAAGGGCCTGGAGGGTCTGGTTCCTTTGGGTTCCCAGCATGTAGCCCGAGGCCTGCATTAGAGTTTGGAGTAGGTTCTACGAAGCTGTGACAGTGGCGCTCCCCTGCAGTGGGGCTGCTCACTCGGCCTCCTGCTCCCCCAGCCCGTTTTCCAAACTGAACTCTGCTCTTTTCATAACCCAGACCTCATCACCGTAGCCCGCTCCATGGAGACCTCCCCTTTCCTTCCTCACGGGACGGGCCAGCTTTCCTGAGGCGGCTCTGCCAGTGTCTGCGTCCTGCCCCTCCTCCCACCCCCTTGCCTACTCAGCAGCAGTGGTTCTCCCCGTTGGTGCAATCTAAACCTGTTGGACAGGATTCTGGAAATTGTAGCCCTTAGGCTTCCAGCCCTGGCTGGTTGCCTAAAAAATGCCCCCGTATTCTGGTTGCCTAAAAAATGCCCCCGTATTCATTGCACCCTGGGCTGTAACTCAGAGGACACTTCCTTGTCATTTCTTCCCGGCTCCATAGACCTGCGCAACACCATGTGTTGACTCAGTCATTCTGCTGCTCCCGCCTTTCCCGTCTCCCTTCACACGGCTTTGCCTTTTCTCCCCTAAAATGTATAAAAACCCATTTCGGGCAGATCGGTTCCTGTAAGCTTTGGCTGTGGTGACTCACAACCTTTTCTCTCTCTGCCTCCTGTGGAAATTCGTCACGGTGTGTTTTCATGCGTCTTCTGAGAGGCCAGGGTTCAGGATGCCACCGCCTCCTACAGCTGCCTCCCTGCCGTCCCAGGGGACCCTGCTCACCAGTGACAGTGACCTTGGCTCTGGTCAGCTCCCTCCCTGCATTTCCCAGACCCTTTCGTTGCTGCCTCTGAGATTCAGTCCTTGCACAGAATCCTGCCTTTTCTTTGACCTCATTTCGTAACCGCACCTCACCTACCTACTCCCGACTGCGGACTTCGATTGATAGTGTTCTGTTTTAAAGATGCCTTTTTCTCCCACTTAACAAAAGCATCTCTGAAGCTGACAACCTCAGAAATACTCCCTTCCACAAACATTTACTCAGCACCTACCATGCCCGTGGCTCACCAGGTGAGCAGGATGAAGGCCTGATCCTTTCCACCAGCCCGCCCCATTTTTGATGTGGTGTTTTGAGGTGAAACCTAGATTCCTGAGAGCTCCTTTACGTTTTAAGGCACTTTCCAACTTGGCCTTGACCCCCAGCGTTTTATAACTCCTTTTCTAAATTAAGACACACCGTATGATGCAGTTTGGGGAGTATTTCCTCACCAGGAAGTGAAAAAATAAAACTGCAAGGCAGCATCTGCTTCGATAGCTTTATGGGAACATGATGGTGACACGGAGCATGGATTTGGGGGCTCACCACAGATGCTTCTGCTTAGGCAGCTGGTGGCCCATTTCTGCAGCCAGCAGAGGCTCCAGGGGGCCCCCAGCAGGGCAGGGGTGGCAAAGAGACAAGCCTGAAGGAGGCTGCTGCGGTGGCAGATGGCATGTGGCACCTTGATCTCAGCCCTGACCATCCGAGTCTGTGATCAGCCAGACCAGTCTTATGCCTCCACCTACGTGGCCGTGACTTAGAGACTCACCTGCCTCAGAGACTCCGGGGAAAATGTCCGAGGAGGCGATTCTGGGGCTTCCAGAAGGAGTCTCCCCCCAGGAGACTGAGCACCTCTGGGGCCATCTGGGCAAATCATGCCTACAGGTGTATTGGCAGAGAAGTTGCTTAAAGCTCCTACTATGTGCCAGGTTGTCTTCTAGAGGCAGACAGACAATAGTCAACAGACACAGGCAGGATCCGTGACCTCCGGGGGGGGGGGAGAGAACACACGGGGGCCAGGAAATCACAGGTGACTATCAATTATAACCCTGCCAACAGCTTCTGAGGACAGTTCTGGGGGTGTGTGTCGGGGGCTGGGCCCAATATGGAGGGTCACGCAAGACTCCCTCAAGAAACGCTATTTCAGCGCGATCCTGTGGCTGAAAGGGCGGGAGGGCGGGAATAGCATTTCAAGTCTTGGAATCAGCTCCGTGCAGGGCCTGGTGGCTGGACGGAGCAGCGAGATAAACCAAACAAACCGGGGGCCGTGCAAAAATGGTTTCCTCGTGTGTGCCACGGCCAGGTTTGCACTTGGCACAGCCCACTGTGGCTGTGGCGTGGAGAGTGGGCTGGAGGGAGGCGAGTGGGGAATGCGGAGGTCTGTCAGGAAGCTGTGTCCGTGGTCCTGACTGAGGGGATGGCAGCGGGACGGAGTGACGACAGGGAAGGCAGAGAACGCGGAGACTGGCCCGCGGCCTTGGACACCCACAGCAGCTTCTCTCTGAGAGGGGCACCCTGGGCGGGAAGCAGGTGCAGGTACAAGGCCAAGGGGCCGTCGTGGGCACGCCAAAGGCGAGGAGCTTCTGTTCGCAGCCCCCAGATGGGGGCGTTGTGTAGGCAGCAGTGGGCGCGAAACTCCCAGGAGGAGCCTGGGCTCCGGCTACAAACCTGTGAACAATCCCTCAGAGATCAGTCTCTGGGGAACTTCAGTTTCCGGGGTGCGGGCAAGGCCGCAGAGGGGCAGGAAACGCAGTGAGAAGAGATGGCCCGGCAGAGGACGGCGAGCTAGGGGCAAGAGGGGCTGCGAAGGCACGGGTGGGCAGGGGGGCGACACCGAGAGGAAGGCAGAGTGGGCTCCGGGAGGGGCAGTGGCCTGAGAGGAGGGCCCCTGGACACTCTCACCGCCACCGCCCCCGCCTCCGCCTCCTTGGGTCTCAACACCCTGTGAATAGGACAGAGGAGTGAACAGCGGCTCCGCGGGGTCCCCTGACTCCCCCACGGTCACGCATTCAGCAGAGGGTGCCGTGGGGTCAACCCCTGCACTCACATCTATTGTGTCCCCCAAACCTCCACCTCCCGTCCCTGACACCCGGCACACTTTCCCCGGCAAGTCCAGTCCACACCGCTTCTTGTGGACGAAAAGCAGCACGAGGGCCCCC